GGCGAACCAGTTCAAAACATACTCATAAAGCTCTTCATCCTCATTACATATGACATCGTGAACATGTTTCAAATATCCTTCAATAATGCTTTCATCTACTTCATTCAGTACCTCATACTCATATCCTCTGAAATAGCTGTAAATGTCATCTCTTTCGTCAAAGAATCTCATGCCTGACTTCATAAGATAGTTCTTGTTCTGACCCGCTTCATAAATCATCAGTGCGTTCACATCCTTCTCTTCAATACGTCCTACATAAACACTCTTCATGAGCTTATTGAATTCCTTGCTATCTACTGACACAAGTGTTGTTGTGTCTCGTATTCCATCATAATCTTTCACTAGATATGTCATACGTGCTCCGTCAATAACGACAACACATCTTCTTAAGTCATTTATAACACTAGCTATGTCAATACCTTCTTCACTCATGTACTTATTTCTCCTCAAGTCCTTTAGTGTGAAAGTGTCTCTAAGTTCTATTTCAAGCAATTCATTTACACATCCTTTGCAATACTTCTCTATAAAATATTTCTGTCGTTCTTTACTAAGTTTCTTAACAGCTCTGAAGAACCATGTGTTTTGACTCAAACATCCTTCACAACTTCTCTCATTCATTCCTAGTTCTTTCATGTCATTATCTTCAACCTCTATGGTCTCATTGACTAAGGTCAAAGGGTTCTTAGTCATTGCTGGTCTTATCTGAAACAATGTTTGTGCAACAGGTTTAACTAGTTCAGCAACGTCCTTCCTTAATATGAATAGCTGTTTCCACTCATCTTTGCTAACAGTTCTTTCATAACCACTGACAGTAATGATTTCATTTGCTGACTTTAGACACTTATGTTCTATCATTTGTATTGCTTTTGTGTAAGGCTTTCGTGAGCATAGGTTGTATATGTCATTCCTGCAATGTTCATTCATGCCAATAGTACTAAATCCTTTCTTTGCTGTTGAGTGCATAATATCCATTAGTTCCTGTGTTCGTATTGCTGTCTCATAAAATACAACAAGACCTTTGTCATCTATGACGTACTTACCGAAAACATTGCTTATATTCTTTAACCATGAAATAACATCTTCATTCATGCTGTCAAACATGAAGTAAGGTCTTACATACTCTTCACTTATAAGATACTCCACAAAATACTTGTTAAGCTCTATGTCCTCGTGAGCGATTTCATTAGGTTTGATATTAGTTCCTTTTGTCATTGCTGTCATGTACTTCACTCTCATAGTTCCTTTCAATAGCGTAAAAATACTTCATTGTTTCATAACTGCTCTAAATTCTGTTCAAAATTCGTACAACATAACTTTTAACATTAGTGAAAGAACATGAGCGAAACAACAACATCTAACATTACAGAAGAAGTCAATGACAATGCCGATGAAAACATTACAGAAGGAGCTAGTGAAAATATTGACGAGTTCAGTGAGGAAGAAGATATTGAAGACGTCAATGAGAACGTTAGTGGGGAACAAACTCAATGGGAAACATTGAGAAATCATGAAGATTATGAGATTTGTACGACATATCCTTTTACTATTCGTCGAAAGAAAGACAAACATATTATGAGTGAATGCTTAAATAATTATGGTTATATTGTGCTTAGTTTAAACAACAAAATGCATTTAAAGCATAGAATTATTGCAGAACAGTGGATTGAAAATCCAAACAATTTGAAAGAAATAGACCATATAAATCATGATAGAACGGACAACAGAATCTCAAACCTTCGTTGGTGTTCTAGATCTGAAAACAATAGAAATAAAAGCAAGTATGGCGATATAGTTTATGAGTTCGTTGATGAAATATCTGACGAAGCTGTTGAAATAACAGCTTATGGTAAGCATTCGTTTGAGTTCTACTACTATGTTGAGAATGAAGACGCATTCTATTATTATACAGGTCTTAACTATCGAAAACTTCATATAAACTTTACAAAAACAGGTGCTGCTTATGTTTGTATGATAGATACAGAAAACAAGAGTGTAATTTTATTCATAAACAAATTCAAACGCTTGTACGGCTTCATGTAGGACAAACATTATTATTCAACACTAACGCCAACACTTAGGACAAACATTCATGACTAACATTACTGTATAACATAGACACTAACTGCATCGAAACTAAACATAAACACCTTGTCAAAACTTCTTCGTATATGTTTTGTCAAAACTTCATCGTAAATGCTTTGTCATGACTTCATCGTAAATGCTTTGTCAAACTGCATCGAAACTAAACATAAACACTTTGTCATGATTTCATCGTAAATGTTTTGTCAAACTGCATCATAAATGCTTTGTCATGATTTCATCGTAATGAGTGTAAATGACCCAAAAATATATTTTAGGGTAGATGGGTAGATCTAACCCGATAACTACCCTCTTTTCTACCCTCTTGAATTTTCATGAATTTTCATGAATTTTATATATTAATGTTTTCGTTAAGCCACTTTGTGCCGTCAGTCAGTCAGTCAGGACCTTCGGTCTTGGCGCTTTGCGCCGTCAGTTTAGGAAAGACTTTAGAAAGTTGTTGGAAAATAAGTCCTGGGAAGAGTATTATAAGGCATTTTGTGAAGAATATAGCAACAGTCCGAATTCCGGCGGTTGTTTTTTATACAAAATTCATGCAGGAAATTCTTGAGTTTTGGTTGAAAGAATACGGTCGAGCCAAAAGTGGCTCAACCTCAAAACAAGCATTTTATGAGCTTACTAAGGGCGTTATGAATGAATTCAAAGGTATTTACATACATCCTGACCTCGTTCATTTTGTTGCTGAATTTACACCAAAAATAATGTTTAGGGTAGATGGTTAGATCTAACCCGATAACTACCCTCTTTTCTACCCTCACGAATTTACACCAAAAATATATTTTAGGGTAGATGGTTTTTAGGTTATTCAATAATTAATTATTTTTGAATAACTGAGGGTGTCACTACGTCACCATGTGTCACCAGGTTAATTAACTTCTCTTAAAATTACTGACAACATGACATTTTGACAACACAGCAGGATTAATGCAAAAATAAATTCCAATCATACTTTATAAAGCTTCATTTACAGGTATTTCATCGTATATGTTTTGTCATGATTTCATCGTAAACACTTTGTCAAAACTTCATCGTATATGCTTTGTCAAAACTTCTTCGTAAACACTTTGTCAAAACTTCATCGTAAATGTTTTGTCATGACTTTGTCAAAACTTCATCGTAAACACTTTGTCAAAACTTCTTCGTATATGTTTTGTCATGACTTCTTCGTAAATGTTTTGTCATGACTTCATCGTATATGTTTTGTCATGACTTCTTCGTAAATGTTTTGTCATGATTTCATCGTAAATGCTTTGTCATGATTTCTTCATCGTAAATGTTTTGTCATGATTTCATCGTATATGTTTTGTCAAAACTTCATCGTATATGTTTTGTCATGATTTCTTCGTATATGCTTTGTCATGATTTCTTCATCGTATATGTTTTGTCATGATTTCATCGTATATGTTTTGTCAAAACTTCATCGTATATGTTTTGTCATGATTTCATCGTATATGTTTTGTCAAAACTTCATCGTATATGTTTTGTCATGATTTCTTCGTATATGCTTTGTCATGATTTCTTCATCGTATATGTTTTGTCATGATTTCATCGTATATGTTTTGTCATGATTTCATCGTATATGTTTTGTCATGACTTCTTCGTAAATGTTTTATCATGATTTCATCGAAACTAAACATAAATGTTTTGTCATGACTTAATCGTATATGTTTTGTCATGATTTCATCGTAAATGCTTTGTTATGATTTCATCGTAAATGCTTTGTCATGATTTCTTCATCGTAAATGTTTTGTTATGATTTCTTCGTAAATGCTTTGTCAAAACTTCATCGTATATGTTTTGTCATGACTTCTTCGTAAATGTTTTGTCATGACTTCTTCGTAAATGTTTTATCATGATTTCATCGAAACTAAACATAAATGTTTTGTCATGACTTAATCGTATATGTTTTGTCATGATTTCATCGTAAATGCTTTGTTATGATTTCATCGTAAATGCTTTGTCATGATTTCTTCATCGTAAATGTTTTGTTATGATTTCTTCGTAAATGTTTTGTCAAAACTTCTTCGTAAATGTTTTGTCATGATTTCATCGTATATGTTTTGTCAAAACTTCATCGTAAATGTTTTGTCATGATTTCATCGAAACTAAACATAAATGCTTTGTCATGACTTCATCGAAACTAAACATAAACACTTTGTCAAAACTTCTTCGTAAACACTTTGTCAAAACTTCTTCGTAAACACTTTGTCAAAACTTCTTCGTAAACACTTTGTCAAAACTTCTTCGTAAACACTTTGTCAAAACTTCTTCGTAAATGTTTTGTCATGACTTCTTCGTAAATGTTTTGTCATGATTTCATCGAAACTAAACATAAATGTTTTGTCATGACTTCATCGAAACTAAACATAAATGCTTTGTCATGACTTTGTCATGACTTCATCGTAAATGTTTTGTCATGATTTCATCGAAACTAAACATAAATGCTTTGTCATGACTTCATCGAAACTAAACATAAACACTTTGTCAAAACTTCTTCGTAAACACTTTGTCAAAACTTCTTCGTAAACACTTTGTCAAAACTTCTTCGTAAACACTTTGTCAAAACTTCTTCGTAAACACTTTGTCAAAACTTCTTCGTAAATGTTTTGTCATGACTTCTTCGTAAATGTTTTGTCATGATTTCATCGAAACTAAACATAAATGTTTTGTCATGACTTCATCGAAACTAAACATAAATGCTTTGTCATGACTTTGTCATGACTTCATCGTAAATGTTTTGTCATGATTTCATCGAAACTAAACATAAATGCTTTGTCATGACTTCATCGAAACTAAACATAAACACTTTGTCAAAACTTCTTCGTAAACACTTTGTCAAAACTTCTTCGTAAACACTTTGTCAAAACTTCTTCGTTGCAGGTGAGACAAAAGAATATTATATGATGTTCCATGACAACGAGAAGTACCAACCACCTTATCTTACAGTTAACAAAAATGTCTTGAAGAAGGAGTACTCAAATAAAGAAAAGATCCATGCAGAGTTTACCTATCAAAAGAACGAAGCAAAATCTCTTCCAGTAACAGGTGCAGCTAAAATATTCCAAGTAGGAGCTAAAGTACCATTAAAATCTGAAACATTTAAGAATGCAGAAAATAATGGAGATATTAAAGTAGATTTAGATCCAGTTCCTCCAGGAGATTATGTTCTTGTACTTTCTGCAGAATATGGTTCAGAATATGATCAAAGTAATGAATACAGACATTACTTCACAGTTCCAGCCAATAAAAAGCCAATTGTAGAAATGGTAGATCAAGGTTATGAATATTACATTCCAAATACTGATGTCACATTCAAGGCCAAAATAACCGATCAAGACAAGGATGATACAAAGTTCACCACTCAAGTATTCTTCGATGGCAAGGTTGTTCAAGAAATCAATGATCTCCAAAATTCTGAAGATGTTAAGACATTTTCTTTCAAGATCCCACCAAGAACAAAGGCATATACATATGATGTCAAGCTTGTTGTCAGCGATGGAAAGGATTCAACAGAACACGAATTCAAGATCAAATTCAAGAGCAACTCCAAGCTCAGTGTCAGCTATGAATTGAAGGAAGAATTGACAGCTTACAACCCAGGTGACAAAGTTGAATTAACAGCTGTTGTCGTTGACCCAGACGTCAACTTTGACTCCAAGTTCACAATCTCAGTTCTTTATGGCGATACTCAGAAGCTCAAGGAAGAGAAGAAGAACGAAAATGGTATCATCAGAGTTCCAATCACAATCGAAATCCCAGCTGACGAAAAGTCTACTGCTGTCGATGTCAAGATCAAGGTTCAGAGCCAGAACGAACTTGATTGGATTGGATTAACTCTTAATATTAACCAGCCACAGCCAAATCAAGAAGGTGGTGATGGATCTGGTGGAGCTGATAAGGCTGAAGGAAAAGATACAAAGGTAGATAATAAGAATAATAACAAGGCATTAATTGCAGTACTTGTCGTTCTCATTGTCTGCTGCGTTGCGGTAGTTGCTTTTATTTTCTATATTCTCATCAAGATGAAATAAGAAAGCAATTTAGTTATTTTATTTTAGTAAAAAATTATTTTTTACAGCAAATTTCCTCTTATTTTTATAATATGTTTGAAGTGTATATGATAGTATTTATGGGTTTATTATTCAAAATTTTTTGATGATAAGATTTCGAAGGATTTTCATGTCAAACATAGTTCGGTTGACTTATACAACATGAGAGTAAGACAGAAATCAAAAGGATGGAGCTTCATGAATCTTGTTAACGAAATTAGACTGAATCTTACTATTTAGTGTAATCATATTGAGTAAGTAACATATTTACACATTAATTTGAGACAAATATTTGCCTCATTTCCTGAGTTTCTGAATCAGCAAATTGAAATTTATGTCACTTTTAATTACAGTTCAATTCTAATTAATGAGTTTTTCTTACTTATTAAACTTCAAATAAGAAAAATGTTCACTGTTATTGAATTTTTTGAATTCCTATCAATATTTTCAATACTCAAGAATTTGTGAATGCGTCGCGCTGTACGTCCAACAACAACAGCTACAGCCAATAGGCGTATGCAACTATCTTCAACAGAACTAGTAATGCCACAATCACGATCATCAAGTCGATCATCTTTGCCTGTTACTGAAAACAATAAACACCCTTTGTTCTTGCAGATGTGGGAAGCATTTGAATCATCGTCAGTTGAACTTATTGAAAATAACGCAAATCTGTTCGATAATATTGATAAATTGAAGATTTTGTTATCAAAATCTTCAACATCCTTCAGAACATTCTTTCAAACAGTAGCACGGCTATACGGAAACATATTTACGTTGAATAAAACCAGAAAACAAAGTCTTGTCACTGGATATTCATCAATACGATCATCATATACTCCATTTAGTACTAATTGGTCCAATTTCACACAATATATGGAGCAACAATATGTTTCTATATACAGGCAAGTCAGTGCAGAGCTTAATAATCATATTAATCCAATGATATCTTTTTTATCCCAAAGTATCAATCAGTTTAACGATGTTACAACCAATCTTGTTACTTTGTTTTCTGAAATCAAGAAATCTTTCGAACTTATCTTCCAAAACCAAAAGTTTCTGCATCAAGGAAGTCAAAATTTTGCAGAAGTTTTAAATAACATTTCGATTATGCTTTCTGCAGTAGAAGACATACAATTGGAGCAAAGGAATAACTTAATTAATACAATAAGCTACTTATTTAGGACTTCTTACGCTTTTTGCATGAATTATATTTCATTTTTGACATCTAAGAACCAATTTCAAGAAATTTTGGATGAATATGTAAGCAGATTGGATTTACAGGTAGATACATCAAGATCTTTACCTCTTTCTTCAATACATGAGGCGAAAAATGAAATTTCATCAAATGAAGTGAAATATCTCGGTGGAAATACATTTGATGAGATCATTGAGAGTGGTAAGAAGGTTATAGGATTGAATAACCCTTCAAACAAACTCTTTTTTGATGATTTACAGAAAATTTCTTCCGAATTTCGAAAAATCATCAAACAAAATGCGAAATTCAGAGAGATTTTCAAGTTTTTGTTCAATAAAGAGTATATATCTGATGAAGAAGCTGTTGCATTTAGAGAAACCATAAAAAAATCAGAATATAACGAAAATCAAATCCAAAATCTCGAAAAACAGATCCAAGAATTGAAAGTTCAGGTAGAAACTATTAATAATCCTCCAAATTCCCAAAATTTACCAAAAAATTCTGAAAATACCAAAAAATACCAAGATCAAAACGAAGAAAGCGATGGATTAATGATTACTCAATGTAATTCTGTTCTTAACCAGCTCCTATTCGGTGATAATCAAGAGAATTATCTTGATAATTTTGATTTTTTGTCAGAAAAGGTGATTTCATTTAGAAATGACTTAGTTAAGATATCTAGTTCTGATAATAACACTTCATTTGATCGAATTTTAGTTATTCTCAAAGAAAAAATTGAGATATTTAATAATTCAGAAAAAAATCCAAATGAAACACAAGAATCTGGTGGGAACCATAATGACCCAAGTAAAGACAAGGAATCTTCATCAGAAATACAGATTCAAGTTAAAAAAGATTTTTCAAGGCTAAAAAATTCAATAATTACGATGTTAAAGGATGCAAAGAAGCCAATAACACAGAACTCATCCATCAATGACATAATAGAGAGTCTTTCTCAAGTTTTTAAATCAAATGAAACAGAATATTCCCAAGAATACCTGAATAAAACGTTTTCAACTGTTCTAAGTATGGTAAATGTCAGTTCCAAAGTTGTTCCTTCCATGTATTTACCAGAAATATGTTACTTTTTCATGTTAATGTTCCAATCCATAAATTACTTGAATAAATTCACATCAGACATGGATGAAATCTTCGACAAGTTCGAGTTCAACATGCCTGAAAGAGATTCAGAAGAATTCAACCATTTGAAACACTGTTCTTCTCTTCTTTCGAAACATTTGAACGAAATTGAACCTTCCCAAATGCATTCTTCTGTTTTCCACTCTGTAAGTAGATTCATTATTCTTATACAGTCTCTTGTTTCTCATTTGTAATAAATTGTTGTTTATTTTTTCTGTTTGATTATGATAATTATCTATATTTTTGTTATTTACTTGATCGATGACAGTAAAATAAGTATATACAGGCTTACTAACATAAAAATAGATATAAAACAAGCACATCTTCGAAATTATTTAAAATTTTTCTCATCTTTCATATATATAGTTGAGTTTAAGATTGCGATACACGAAAACCAAAATATTGAAGAACAAATCTTCATTTGTCAAATCCAATATTCATATATTATTGATTATCAATAAATAATTTGAAATATCAGACAGAGATATCAAAACTCCTACATTGTAATAGGTCATTCAATGATAAACTGATAAGTATATAGCAATATAGTAGAGTTATGCATAAATAGATCAAGTTTAATCTCAATCACTTTAACATATTTCACAAATACAAAAATTATTGATTATGAGCACAAGTACTCCACATTAGACATTTATATTTCATATAAAATAACAATTTTAAGAATTTATAAAATATGAAATGATAAGGTAAAAGTAGTATTTATTAATACATCACAAAATGCAATATATTATCAGACTCTCAATAGAGGTGTAATTTATTTTAAGTTTCCGAACAATTCAATGTTTGCGAGAGTGAAACAATTAGAACCAAATGAGTTTTTGCCTGTCATTGTAAATCTAATGATACTATATAACCCTGTAGGTTGTACAGTCTTTGAAAATGTTTTATTTGGATTATTTAATTCATCAGTATTTTTAACTTGATCTGCTTCACGATAATCAAGACCATTATTAGAAACTTCAACTTTCCAAGATCTGGCATGTGTACTTCCTTTTCCACCTTGAAAAGTTTTAAGTGTATATCCAAATAATTCGACTTTCTTAGTAGCAAATGTAATTTCAATCCAAGAACTGTCTTCATTTTCTGATGTCCACTCGCTATCACTTGCAGGACCAACAACATCGATTGGATCAACAAAACATCTAACCGATTTTGAAGAAACTTTAACTTTGATTTCATTACCAATCTTTCCACCATTTGCCTTTCTTATTGCGGCGAAAATTCCGTTTAATGGCGCCTCTTTTCTCAGAGGATAAGCAATGGAATTTCCACCACCCATTTTTTGATAAAGAGATCAGAAATCTCACCTCCTTTCTGATCAATCTGATCTATAACTAGACACCACATTAAAGCATTGCTTCTATTGGCTGATTAGCTATAGTTCAAGTAGAATCAATGAAAAACATATCTATGTTTCGATAATTTAATTTTGGAAATCTGATTACGCTAATTACTTATGCTTCTATTATCTATATTTCATCTGGATATACCATATCTATTTGAGTAAATCCAATAAATCAATTATTTCACAGATATATTTTTTATTATTTTTATTATTGCTCAAATAATCAGGGAAACATCAATAAATATGCATAGGGTAATTCATTGTTAATGAGTTTTATTGGATTTATATTGAATCCAAATTTTTAATAATTTTTTATCATATAAATCGTTATATTTGTATGGACAATTAAGGTGTAAATCAGGAACAGATGAATTTTGTATTAAATCAACATCCGATGTAAGAACATAATTTTTTTTTCTGAAAATTAACGCCGCACTTTACATGTCAACGGGAGATCTCGTTCCTAAGCAAGAAGATATTGATGAAATGACGAAACAAGTTGTTGTTCAGAATGGTGGACACAACTATTTATATGCTGAATACCTTAGAATGACTGCAAATCTCGCATCAGAAAGTGATGAAACGTTTTTAAATCATTTTCAGCCAAATATTAACTACGACAAGTCTGATATTATTGAAGCACTCAAATACGTTATGGCATATCTTAAAGCAAACAAAATGAAAGAAACATTAAATACTCTCCGCATAGAATATCCAGATGCACCAACAAAGACAGGTTATAGTACAAGATCTGAAGTAGCTAAATCTTGGGATCATTTAAACGAAACAATTAGAACTAATAAGAGAAAGTCTCTCGACAAGAAAGTCAGACAATTCAGCGAAGAAATCGGTTTACCAGTACAAAAGCACTCAAGAAAGCCAACTCATTAATGTATTAAACAATAAAATTATTATTTTCTTTTTTAGTTTAAATTTTCATCAGTCTAGATTAATAATTACAGCCAAATATCCAAAATAAAGGATTTTGCATCATCTATTTCAATACATTTGATAAAATATTTTGTGAATTTGATTTTTGAATAATTGTCATATCATGGAGCATGAATCTACATATGATAAGTATGCGAAGTCCAAATTTAGATATATAATGTATATAATAAACTCTAATAAAATGCAAATTTAATTTGAATTTGAAATAGTTAAAAATATTCATATCGGAGCTAATCCTATGAATCAAAACTTATAAATTCAAATGGTGGATGAGATATGTTAACGATTCGAAAGATTTATTGTATTTATTGAGGCATTTTGCGAAAATGTTTAATAGGATAGATTCTAATCCAGATAAATAAGATATTTCAAAGATCCAAATTATGCAATATTAACAATTGACCACTTATCTTTTATTTTGGTGTAATGATAATTCTGATGTTTACAATGAGATATATTTTTTTTTTACATGAGTTCTGCTACCTGGCACGACCCAGGTACAGACAAGACATTTCACTTTGACGAACATGGAATGTTTGTCAGTGAAGATGGACTTGGTCCGCAAAAGGGTTTTAAAGATGATGATGAATTCAGCAATTGGGTTCATTCTTACGTTATTGAAGAGATGAAAAAGTTAGGATTAGTTGAGAAGTGTCATCCTGAGAATGGAGCACCAATTTATCATACGCAAAATGCATTTAACTCTCCAGAAAAACTGTTAATTTTAATTCAAGGCACAGGAAGAGTGCGAGCCGGAGTTTGGTCTGTAGGAGTTTGTGCTTATGCAGGATTGAATGCAGGTTCTGTATTACCAGACATTATTGAAGCCAAAAAACGGAATATGGAAGTAATAGTATTAAATCCAAACGATCCACGCTATTCAATGTTCATAGAAAGATACAAATCTAACATCGGAATGGTCAGACATACATTAGCAATTTTTGAAGATTTAATAATCAAAGGAAATCCAAAAAGAATCTACATTTTGTGCCATTCAATGGGTGGAGAATGTGCCATTGCATGCTTACGTAAATTCCCAGAGTGGATGCTACAACATTGCAGAGCTATTGCAATGACTGACGCTTGCGAAAGCAGAGTTGACATAGAAGGTCTAAAAATCAATACATGGTGCATGAAGCATATTATTAATTGGATTTGTTCTGAAGAAGAAGCTAATATCAAATTACCTGATGGAATTTCATCGCAACATTACTCTGCAGGCACAAAAGATCATCCATTAAGTACGGCCAAAGCATGGCCATTTATTTGGTCATTCTTTGATTAACAAGGTGCAAATACTGAAGTTGAAGAGCTCGTTGACATTAATGAATACAGAGGAACAGATGACCCAGATGAGTCTTTGTCTAAAGAAGACTCAAATTGCAGACCAGCTTAATTTATAATTATTTTTTTTTTTCATGTAATTTTTTTGTTGCTTTAAAATGTTCTTGTGTTTATATTACATAAATAAATCCTTGTTTAAATGTTTACAAACAAAATTTTTAAAAAATTAAAATTACCAAACAATTTCTATTAAAATTAATAAGACAATTGGTTATATCTCATGAACAATTCACTTTTTGCAACAATTTTGATCTAATATAATATAATTTTTGAAATATTTCAAAATTACCTTTGAGAATAGGAAAATTTGATTTTCTTATAACTTATTCGGCTTCTTGGTCATTTGAATCCGGAAAATTGATTTCTACTGAAATTAAATTTGCAATTTTAGCAATTTCTTCGTTGTCTCCTTCTTCAAGCTCTTCTAAAACATCCAATAAATTATCATCCAATAACATCTCAGCAAAAAATTGGGTAATTTTAGGATCATTTTTCGAACTTAATAATTGATGAACCCATTTCAAAATTTGAACTAGTTCCGAAGCATTTGCTGCTGATAGAACTTGAGCAATATAATTTGCAACTCCTGATAGAGCCAAAAAATTGAGATGATGAAAAGAAGCATAAGAAAAGAGTTTTCCTATAAGAATTGAAGCAGATATCTTAACATTTGTTGTAGAATCTCTTATACTATCGACACAAAGTGAAAGAAGATCAGAAATCTGGTCATTTGTGAAGGGATTTTGACAATCATCACAAATCTCAATAAATACCTTTAAAATAAGTTCAATAATACGTACATCATTGTCAAAATCAAGTAATCTTGTCAATTCTATCAAGTGAGTTTGATCAAGAAATTCATTTGTTTTGAAATGCCGAATAAACTCAATTAATAAGAACAAAACATATGGACAATACGTTCTTGAGTATTCATTTTCTGGAATTGTTGAAAGAATGGGGTTGAATTCTGTACCAATTTGCTGAATTTGATCTAAAACTTCTTTGTGACTTGATTGAATGTTATATAATAATTCAAATACAAATATTTTCGATTCTAATGTTAAATCTCCGTATGCTTCGAAACAAAACCCTATTAATTCTAGATAATTTTCAAAATTTGGCAGAAAAACGACACTTGCTAAGTATTTGAAGCAAAATATTTCTACAATTTTTTCTTCTATACTATGACATAATGTATTGACTTTTTGAATTGAAGCATATTGATAGATAAAATCTCGAAGATTTTGATCTAATCGAACTAAAACAGAAAGGAAGTTCAGGATTCTTTTAACAGAGAATGGATCTTCAGAATCAAGAAATCGCAAGAAAATAATCAGATTTTCTTCAGATAAAAAGTCATCAAGTTGATTTTCGCGTAATTCCTGAAAAAGAGGAATCATTATCTTAATTATACCAGACAAAACCGAATCTGGTGGATCTTGCGTAATAATTTTCATGAAGATCGGATGAATATTGTTTGTTATGTAAAAATTTATAATAAAGATCCTGTTTCGTTCAACGAATTGCCCAAGATACTCAATTGTATTGAATAATTCTTCTTGGCTTTGATCTTTATCAAGTCTAAGAACTTCTTTAATTAAATTTTTAAATTCTTTACGTAATTCTTCTATTTTTCCATCTATTTTCGTTATCTTAGATCTATTCTTTTGTTTAGTCTCTTCCAATTCTTCATCTTCATCAAATTCATCCATGAAATATCAATAACTTGATTTTTTTTTGACAATTGTCAAAAATCCATAAAATTATTTGTCACGTAAATTATTGAATTAATTTATAACGTTCTTTATAATAAATAATTTAGATGACTACATACGTTTCAATAATTGATGCAGGCCACCGCGAATACCTCAGACGAGAAAAGCGCCTGGGTATATTTTGCAATTCGCTCTCTCAAATCTCAGAAGTACGCTCTTCAAAAGATTCGATCACAAATGATCTTCTTAAAGGAGTTAACAGCATTTGGTTTATGGGTCCTCGCAATGATCTCAATAAGGACGAAGCATCCGTCCTTCAATCTTACCTCAAAAGCGGCGGAAACGTAATCATTGCTGGTGCTGAAAACTTCCCATCCGGATTTAACGCATTTATCAGCCAATACGGTGTTAAAGTTACTGAGCCAGTTATTTCTCCAGTATACATTAACTACATTGACCCTCATCAAGTCAGTATTCAACACGGTATTCTAAACCATGCAATTACAGAATTCATTAAGGATGACAAAGCCTCATTTGCATTTCCAAATGGTTACATTCTTGAGGTAAGTCGTCCATCTGTTCCAATCATTTCTTCCGGTTTATCCGCTTATCCATTAAACTGCCCAGTAATTTCATTCACAGCCGTAGAAAAAGGTACACTTACTGTTATCGGATCTCCACTTATGTTTGGCGATGAATGGTTCCGTAAAGAGCAAAACGAACAATTATTTAATTTCTTAATACAGCTTATCCTCGTAAGAAGCACACAACTCAATAAGATCGATGCCGACAACCCAGAAGTTACAGAAAGATGGTTTACTCCTGATACAATTAGTATGTCTGAGCGCCTTAGGCCTTGCATACAGGAATCAGAGAAATTGAAGCCTAATCTTATTGATAACTTCGATAAGGCTAAATTTAGCATGGATATGAGATTTGTTGCTGATATTGCAAATCTTGCTAATACATTAGGAGTTAAGAACGAGCAATTAGACATTGTTACACCAGTTTTCGATGTTGCATTACCTCCTCTTACACCAGCTGTTTTCCCTCCACAGATGAAAGAGCCAGAGCCACCTGTCCTCGAACTTTTCGACTTAAACGAAATATTCGCGTCTAAAACAGCAAGACTTGCTATGCTTGCACAAAAGACGCCACCAAAGAACATCGAGAAGTTCGTTATGCAGACTGCAAAGATATTAAACGTCGGACAGAAGTTACCACAGAACTATTCTGCAAAGGACGTCTTAGAATATGTATTTAAGTACGTTGTTAGATGTAAGAGACAGGCTCAAGATTAAATTCAAATTATTTATTGGAAATTTGTAAAAAAACAGAATATCAAATGAATTTCTTAGATTTTTTTAAACTAAATTTTATAAAGATCTCTCAAACAATGAGACACAATATTTATAAAATTCAAAATTCATGAATAAATAAGTCAAATAATATGTTTAAAAATAGCTCTGTGAATTTTTATTTAACGTCTATATAGATATCATTCAGCTTTAATTTTGTACATTGAATGTTTCATATTACAATTAATTTATGCCTTAAATATCATTTAGCACCACGTAAAATGCATTTTCTGTATAAGATCTATGAGTTATTTAAGTTTTATGGTCTATAATAAAAGATTATTTTTCAAAATTAATTTAATTATTGTCTATTTCATTAAAAAGAATTAAGTAATCTTATAAAAATATGAAATTTACAATATAAAACATAGATATACTATTAGACTTTATTTAGATTCCATTTCTCTTTTCTTCAAGCAATAATTTATTACGAGTTGAGGGAACATCTTGATCATCAACTCTAGAGGAACATCTTTATTATATTCTTTGCTTCCATCTGAGAAAACAGCAACAACAACTTTAATATTATCAACTTTTTTGTAATCAATGATTCCAGTAGGTTCTATACCATCTAGGAATGGATCTGTTTCGAATTTGTCATATAGTTCTTGATCAATATTATATAAGATAGCTCTATTTTGTTTTTTAGGGAGAAATCTTTTAATTGTTGGTTTTTGAATGCTTCCATAGAATTGGTAGAAATCTGGATTGTATTCTGGACCTTCTTCTTTCTTTTTGTTATTAGCTTGCCTTTTTCGGTCTGTTTCATTAACAATTTTTCTTTTTTCTGGTTCTTTTCGATTTGAGGAATCGCTATCATAAGTAGGTTTCTTCCTTTCTGGTTCCTTTCTATTTGAGACACTATTTTCTTGTATAAGTTTCCTTCTTTCTGGTTCTTTAGGTGGAGGCCTTTTTTCTACTTCAGAAACTGGCCTTTTTGGCTTATCAACAGGAGTAGGTTTAGGTGCAGTTGCTCGTGAACTTTCTTTTGGCTTGGAAATTTCTGTTTTTTGTTTAATTTGTTTTGGATTATCGGAATATTCTGAAGATAAACTATCTGAGTAATTTTTCGTTCGTTCTTTTTCATTTTTAGATGATTTTTCGTGTTCGAGATGAACTGATACTGCTTTTTGTTTTGCTTTTAATGCTGCTCTTTGTTTTTCCTTTTCTTTCTTTTTAGCTTCAAGTTTCGCATAGTACTCATTTAAAGTTTCTTGACAACCTTCAAGATTTTCCAATGGTTCCCATGTATCTTCGCTATCAGAATATCCTTTCCAGTGAACTCTATATTTAACGACTCCATCTATTATTCTATGGTCTCTAATTTCTTCGACTTCGTAAATTTCTTCTTCACCATCATTTGCTGAACTACTATCAACTTCAATCTCTTCTCTGCTCATTTAAATTTGAAAAGCTAAGAATGAAAATGTAGTATATCTAACGTCATTTAATATTATTTTTGTTGCCAAATAATCCTAATCTCAAAGATTGTTTTTGATTGAACTCGTTATTAATTTTAAATCAATTCATTATTTTATATTTATTCTTATAATCCTCATTCTCGTCATTTTGTTAGGACAAAATGACGAAACAAAAGAATATCTCAAAATAATTTTCAAATTCGTAAGTTTTAAACAATGCATTTTAATTAATGACCATGAGCATAGGAAAATAAGATATACAATACCTTTATTTATATTTTCAAACAATATCATTGAATAATATTACAAAAACTTAATAAATTTCATCAAAATCATCATCGATATCTGCAGAATCGGCGTCATCATCAGGATCGTCGTAGTCATCATTGTCGTCATCAGAATAATTTCGGCGGCCTCGGAAATTATTGAGTAATCCCATGAACATACTTAATGGATCATCGTGATCATTATCATGATGGTTGTTTCTTCGTTGTGATTCTAAAGTCTCTTGTAGCAAATCTCGGGCTTGCTGATCTCCACGGCAAATTCTGCGAAGTATATTGAATTGCTCTGCAGAAATATATCCATGTGGTGTAATTGGTTCGATTTCTTGTGGTAAATGTTTGTATCTTGCAAGAAAATTCTCTAAAATTGCTTTATTATCGTGTAATTTTTCTGTATATTCGGGATTAATTAATGAGGCAATGATGCCTTCAATGATATCTGGCTGTGTTATGAAGCATTCGATAAGTTGACCATTATTAGCGATATTTTCACTTCTTTCGTTTCTTTCTAGAGGAGACAATGTAACCATAACAGGATATTTCTTCGTTTCTTGGCCTCTATCAAGTATTTCTTGAATAGGACTATGTGAAAAATCTCTTTCTGTGACATCATCATCGTTATGCTCGCCATAACCATTAGAATCTGTATCTGTGGCTTCCTCTTCTTCTATAGGCTCTGTTGCGAATCCTTCTACTTCGAAAGTTTCATTTGATTCAACGAAAATTAATGCATCTTTGAAATATTCAATATCATTAAGGGTGCTATCCGGGTCTACTGGCTGGCCCATAAAAACTAATGTGATTTGTTCTTCATCTAATGAATAAGCAGTTGAAAGTTCCCGAAATGCATTGCGAATAGGTTCTGTCATGCTAAATCCGGTTATTATATGCTTTAAAAGAAAGCGATCGCAAAAAATAACATCAATTTTATCTTCGGTCATTTTTCTATAAAAATTGTCACTTTTTATTTGATGGAAATTCTAAAAGCATGAGTTTGAAGGAATTTGATCCTCACATTTGAACTTAGAGTCGTGTTTTATTATGAGATAAAAAAAAAAAAAAAAGGTAGTGGGGCTTCCAGGCACTTCGTGCCCTCTAGCCCCGAAGATGTTTAGTATAAATGAAGTTTTTATTCGGAAAATTGTTAGTCTTCTGGTGTGAATTCGGAGGACTCTTCTTCTTCCTCCATTGCTTCTGGGAAGAAGCCTTCTTCTGGGTCGAAACATTATATAATGTGTCGCTTTTCACAAATTATATATGTTTTCATGCTTTGTCACTTTTCTGTCACTTTTCGGGTAAAAACATTTTTATTATTATATATAAATGAATTTTACAAAACCACCGTTACCGTTCTTTGGAAATAAGAGTAGATGTAAAGATATTATATTGAGAGAACTTAAGAAACTACCGAATGGTCTAACATTTGTAGATTTGTTCGGTGGAAGTTTCTATATATCCCATTTGTGCCATACAATATTCCCAGACTCAAAGATTATATGCAATGACTTCGACAACTATATGGACCGTCTCAAACATATACCAGACACAAACAATATATTGAAAGAGTTAAAAGAAAAGATACCTATAGGTAAGATGGAACGTATACCATTAGATAAGAAAAATATTGTGAGAGAGGTTTTGAAAAAAGCAGAATATATAGACTGGGATAGCATATCTGCTAGACTATTATATAGTGGTTCTATAAGAGTTCATGACATTGAAACACTTATGTCAAAAGTTTTATATCTTAACTATACAAATGTTTTCAAAGAGGACATAGAAAAATATATTGAGGGTATAGAGTTTGTGAGATGTTATTGGACAGAGTTGTATGAAAAATATAAAGACAAGGAAAATGTTTTCTTTATAGTGGACCCGCCGTTCTTTAACACATGGGATTTTCAATACCAAGTAGACTGGACTTTGAGAGACTCTTTAGAAACTTTAGACGTTTTACATAACCATCCATGCTTTTACTTTACATCCGATAAAAGTGGTTTGGAAACCGTTATGAGATGGTTAGAGGACATACATGACTATGAGTTTAGATATGACAAGATAGAATATGAGAGAGGTCCTATAAACCGGAGAAAGTGTCATAACAAAGAAATTTTATTAGTAAGTAAATGTGGTTTGAAATAGGACTACTTGTTTTAGGTTTTTTCCATTGTGTCATTTATTTATTTGACGTGGCAGAAAAGTACAGAGAATATGAAGAAACCAATGCTGCAAATGTTCAGTATATGTACTCGTAAGAGATATTTTTATCTAATATTAAATGGACGCACAGAACTTAGCGAATGCACAGCAACCTGGACAACCAAACCCAGAGAATATTCCAAATGAAGTTAGAATACAAACTGCAATGGCAAACTATGGTCAAGTGCCAACAGATGTACAAATGCAAACTGCCATGTCAAATGACGCTGCGTTAGGTTTGCCACCATGGTATGCAAATATGAGATGGAAAGAGTTTTATACAAACCCTGAAGTGGATATAAACAACTTTATGCAGATGACGCGAAACAGGAGTTGACCCAGAATATGTTTTCTACCAGAGGAGAAACAGAATGTATGAGCTCAGTTAAAGAATGCTATGGAACTCAACAGGAAACGTAAGAGACTAGGCGGACATTAGATTTTTACATATAGTAAAATGGGTTTCTTCAGTAGTATTGGAAACTTCTTTCGAAATGTTGGAAGAGGTATATGGAATGGAAAAAATCTGTCGGAAGAGGAATTTGGAACGGTGTCAAAAATATTGGTAAAGAGTAGGTCAGTTCGTTGGTATTATACCTAAAGACCCTGAACCAGAAGAACAAGCTCCTGTTATACAACAGCCTGAACCTGCACCACAGTCTAGTTGGCAACCAAATCCAACACCTCAACCGTATTAAAAAATTATATTTTTACCGTTCGATAGTAGTTGTATATGAAACTAAGTTCTAAGTAAAACGCATGGTATAATGGAATTATTCTTTTTCTTCCATCTGTAGTAAACCATACTTGAAAGTCTGAAATACTTCCACTTGGTGGTTCGTATAACTTTGTAGGTTTTTCGTAAAAGTCATTTGCCAAGCATAAGAAAGAGTTTTGGGCGCCAGAAAATGAAGCATGAACAATAATAGCATCTTGGTCGAAAACATTTTCATATGTTCCATTAGGGTTTTCGACTTCATAAAAGTCTGGGTGTACTGGATATGCTGCAGGCTGATTTAACATCCTCATAAATCTATACCATGCCAAGTTGTTATATTTTGTAGAAATATAAACGTTTTCTCCAAGGTCTTCTATTTTATTGATTTTAACAGTTGCATTTTTCCTGTCATAAATAATATCGAGATGGTACTCTCCCTCGTCAATGTTATACTGGTTTGCATATTCGATATAGATATCGTTTATTTTTTCTTGAAAAGCTTGAAGAGTTGTTTCTAAGTTTACAAGCAAACTAACTTGTAAAAGTTTTCCCTGTTCAAATTTCTCATACATACGTTTTTCTTTGTTATAGTATCTAACTTCAAAACCGACCGTAAATGGGAAACCATGTATGGCTTCTGAAATGAACTTCATTCTACGAAAGCCAATAGCTTTTGACAGATGGGTCTCTAACCATCTAATGGGTAGTCAAAACGATAGCCTTCATGCTTTACGGTCTCTGTCTCAAACTTTTGACCGACATTAGTAAAAAGTTCATCTAATGGTTTAGTTGTAGCAACTCTTGAATTTTCTTTTTCTATTGAAAGCATATTTTATCTAGAATAAAAATGTCGAAAGATATTGCTTCCATGAGAGAAATACAACACAACCGACAACTCATTATGCAAGCTCTAAATAAGAACACAACAAACTTTTCAAACTATTCTAAGATATCTGAGTCATTGAAAGAAGGAAACTTAAAAACTGACATTAAACCAATGACAGATAGTTTCTATTCAAGACAAGAAGAACAATACTGTCTGTATAAATCCAACAAAAGGAACTTTAAACGAGAAACCTATAAATGAACTTCTTTTGAAAGCAGATGTTGACAACAAAGCTGACAAAGAATATGTAGACGATGCAATAGCAAAAGAAGAAGAAAGAGCTAACAATGCTTATGCAACAAAAGAACATACTCATCCTGAACTAGCAGACAAAACATATGTTGACAATAAAATGTCAAGTGAAGTGACAAGAGCTGAAAACGAATATTCTAAAAAGACTCATACACATTCTATATCTGAAATAACAGACTTAAACGTTAGCCTTGAAAATAAAGCAGATAAAGAACTTGTGGCTAGTGTGTTAGAGAAGAAAGCAGATAAGGAATATGTGGATGAAAAAGATAAAGAAATTATAGAAAGGGTTGACTGGTATCATGAACGGACATCGAAGATTTTAAAAACTAAAGCCGATACAGGATGGGTTTCAGGATGTTTAGACCTTAAAGCAGATAAAACTTATGTTAACGATGAGTTAGAGAAGAAAGCAGACAAGAACCATACACATACAAGTTTTACAACTGTTGCTATAGAAAGTATTGAAGGAACGGTTGAAGGAACTGGTGGGGATGCATTATATTGTAAACCTCCTAACTTTCCACAAGGTTTAACATCGGATGACGACATAACGACGATGAAAAACATTAGATGTAAAGATGTTTATGTCATGAAGGATGAACATAATATTAAATTCACTGCTCAAGATTTATATGACAAGAAAGCAGACAAAACAGAGCTTCAAACATTAAAGACAGAAATGCTTCAAACATTATATCCTATAGGCTCTATTTATACGTCAATGAATTCAACAAATCCAGCAACAGTTTTAGGTTTTGGAACTTGGACTCAAATAGTCGACAGGTTTTGTATTGTGCAAACTCTTCAAAGGAAACAGGTGGAAGTAAAACGATTTCAGGTGAAAATTTACCTGCACACAGTCACTACATAGATTTAAGTACATCTCAAGCAGGTTGGCATAAGCATAGATATTGGGATTGGTCAGCAATGACAAAAGGTAAAGGATATGATGTTAAAGACAACGTTAAGTTTGCTATAAATTGTTACTGGAGTAACACTGAGGGAGGAGGAAACCATACACATCGCGTTTCGGGATATACGCAAAACGGGACAAAGTAAAGACTACATGCCACCTTACATGACAGTTTACGCATGGTATAGAAATGCTTAGTCGTCATTTTCAACTTCTTTAGCATATTCGTCAGGAGTTGTCTTATATTTGTTAGGAACTGTCTTTGAAAGTATACCACCTTGAACTTTGACAAGTTTGAAACGAGGTCTGACAATAGTAGTTTTATCTTCTGCTTGCAGTGTGTACATTTTGCCATGTTTGCCTAAAACTTCATAATATTCTCTTGTATACTTTCTTCTATTTTTACGAACACGAATGTGAGTACCTGTCGGGTTCCCATTGTTGTCATAGTCAATAGTATTTTCATATGGGTCGCGTTTAGGTATTTCTATTTTTACTTTGTCACCTTTCTGAAGTTTGAAGCCCGGCATTCTTTCTTGTTTGTCTCTTTTGACTAAATTATTAAATATATAGTCTTTCTCTAAGTCAGGGTTGTTTTTCATTTCTTCGGGGGAGTGGTTTCCCAAACCTTTTTGTTTACGGCTATTGTAAATATTTAAAACTTGTCTCATCTTTGCCATGGAGAAGTGTCTATATTTGTCGTCATATGACATTTCATTTGCTTCACCACCTTGTGGTTGGTTTAAGTCTCTTAACATTTTTATACAACCGTCAATGACACCAAGAGCAGAATGGTTTTGGTCGACAATGAAATATTGGTTTACATTTTTTGAACGCAGATAGTTTTTTACATCATCTGATTTGAAAGAACTTTCACAGTCAGATGTCAGTTTTGTTGGATGGTATTTGTCAACGAATATTGTCAAAGCAGTTTTCACATCTAAAATATTTTTGGACCATAATGGTATGGCTTCACAGTATCTTGTGTTTTGACCAACAAATATTAACCAGTATGGTGGTCCATCTTCTCTATACCTCGGAATGTTTTCCAAGATATCCATAAACCAAGCATTTGTGTGTTGAACTAAAGATTTTTACCATGAGTGCTTTCTTTGTCGCTTTAGAAACATAGGGGTCCTTGTTTGGATTCGTCATTTTTATCCTATAAGAAATGGGTTTATTTGGCGCATTAGCAGGAGTCGCATCCAGATTTTTGCCCGCAGTGGGAACAATAGCTAGAGGTGTATTTGGAGTTGGAAGGAAGATTTTGAGTACATTAGGTATACTTAAAGAGAAAGCACAACCTATTATACAAACTGTACAGAAAGGTTGGGATGTAGCACGAGATGCAACAAATCTTATTCCAAATCCTGAAACAAGAGGAAAAGTTCAAGGATGGATGGACAATGTAGGAAGACAAGCAGGAAACTATTATAACAAAGCAAATGACTACTATAACCAAGCAGGACACTATATGGACCAAGGTGAAAGATTCTTTAACAGAGGATATAACCATGCACAACAGTGGGTAAACAATAACCAACCGCAACCACCTCAAACGTGGGGAATGTAAAATTTTTTACTGAGATGAAATGAACAATACAGCATTGAGACAAATGGGTTCAAGATGGATTTGTCGGCTTCCAGCAGTTACACAACGTGTTTGTCAAGTTCTTCCTATACCTCAGGAAGTTTTAGACCGACTTAAAAAACAACAACAACCAGTTTGAAAACAAACCAAACTAAAATTTTTTACTGAGATGAAATGACCGAAGAAGTTGAAACGGTAGATTTGACACCACAAACAAAAAGTTCAGAACCATTGTCAAAACCTGTCAAAGAACTTACAGATGAAGAGAAAATTCAATAATAGAAAGTGCCAGGTCTGGAAATACAAACCCTAACTACAAAGTCACTTTTCATAAAAATGGAACGGCTAGTATCTCAAAAAAGAAACAGACTCTCACAAAAAAATATTGAGTCTGAAGGAGCTTTCGAGACAACAGATGGAAAAGTTTACTTCACTGACCAACAGTTCATTATAGAACATCTCATTGACTTAGAGTCGAAATATTCTAAACTTTACAACAAACACAAAAAGTTGAAAGGAAAACAAAAACAAATGGCATATGATATTTATGAAGATGTTGACGACACAACTGTTCCTGCAAGTGAAGTAAAGTCAGAGAAACCGAAAAGTGACGAAAAACCGATAGAAGAAGAAAAACCAAAAACTGAAGATAAACCAAAACCAAAGTTTAGTTTGGAAACTAAACCAAGTCAACCTTCATTAGCTGGTATGGGTTGGCGTCAAAGACTTATGGCAGCAGGCGGTTATGTAAAGTAAAGAAAAAATATTTTTTTCTTTTTTATAAAAATGCCCCATATAGAATGGATAGAAAATCTGCTAGAATAAAAGCAGAGTTGCAAAGATATGGTTGGAGAGTTTCGAAGAAGTTTAAATATAGGAAGGGAAGACCCATAAAAGTCTATGACAAATTGTCTGGTCTTCGCTACGAAATGGATTTGGAAACAGCACGTGCAAATTATCCAACAGACTAGAGAGGTTAGAAGAAGAACGTCTTATGGACATGCCTTTCGATGTTAGTGAACCTCAAGTTGAAGGACACGACGGCTTTGCCAGATTCTACTGGAAACATGACGAACAATTGCATCCTTTGAGAAGGAAAAAAGGTAGTGCAGAGGATGGTCATGCTCCCATGGAAAGAACAAGATATGCATATGAAAAGTATCGTGAAGTTAGAAGTCAAATTACATCTGGTCGAACCTTTACAGTAAACTTTGACGAAGGAAAGAACAAAGAAGGCTTCATGGGTGTACTTGCTGCCATACAAGACGGAAATAGAAAGGACACAATCTCAGATTGACCATAACAGATTTGGATGGTCACATTTACTATGCAAATGGCAATGAACAAACAGCTGCAAAACTTCTTGACGCTTTCAAGACTACAAAGAGAGAACAAATGGTTGACTCCGACTCAGACATTTTGAATGCAATTGAAGGAATTGCAAGTGTCAAGTTCGAATGGTACCAACCTAACCCTCAAGCAGTCAACACATGCTGGATACTTCCCTTCATAAATAAGTCTGACATTGACTTGACAAGGTATGGAATTTACAATTCAATTGAAACAATTGTCAATGAACCTTGTATTCTTACATGTCTCAGGAACTCTGGTCTTGTTACAGATGAGAAGATGAAGTATCTTGAGTCATGTGTGAAGACAAGGTACATTCTCAGAGGTCAATTGGCAAAAATTGCACCGTTGGCAAATGTCAATATCCGAGTCAACATACCTACAGCTAAAGGTTCTTCACATGACGACTATGTTGTTGAGTTCAATTTACCATGGTTGAAGATTGTAATTGTCCACAACCACTTCATGTTGAACGAAAGTTACAAACCCATTGTTCGGAAAAGGCAAGTGCAACATTGTCAGAGCTGTAAACATTCTTTTCGAGAAAGGTTTGTTGGAACCAATTCCAGATGACAAGCTGACAGAAACTTTTGTACCAAAGACGAAACAAACTTTTCATTGTTAGCAAGACCAAAAGTTGTTCCAGACAAAGTTCTAGTACAAAAGAAGTACACAATTCCACAAGGAGTTGGATTGTTCGGATACCAACCTGAACCAGAAGAACTTCAATGAGGTTGCAAGAACTTCAAGATGCTATAAACAAACTTCCATTGAGACATCCAATTGACGTCAAATTGTATTGGAGAGCATCTGAGTTAGGTCAGAAGGTTTTATATGAAACAGGTTGCTTCGACGATGTTTATGAGATAACAGGAGAAGTTTCTCAGAAGATAAGAGACTCACTTGAATTTCCACAAACTGGACCAATTGGTTGCGACAAGTTCGACTCAGATGAAAAGATATACTATGTCGACCTTAACGCTGCATACATGAGGTTTGTCCAATATATTCCGACTGGAATTCCAAACGAAGATGGTGAGTTCCCGGGAAGGAACTTACAGTTGGAAAAGTCATACAACAACTGTATGATATTAGGAAAGCTTCAAACCCCAAACTTGCAATGACACTCAAATTGCTTATGAATTCGACATGGGATATTCCATTAAGAAACCTCAAGAGATGAAGAGTAAACATTATGAGAAGGTCGACAACTTTGTTGAAAGGTTTTCTCCTTTTGTTTTGAAGTACGAATTCACTCAAGGTCAAAGTGGCTTAGTACCACATTAAAACCTATTGTCGAACATTGGTCTTACCCTCAGTTCGCAAAGGCAGTCCTTGACAACTACAACAAATTCTTCTCCGAAGTCAAATCGAAAGTTGTGGTTTACTATGAGAACATTGACGCACTCATGACGAACGAAGAAGGCTATAACAAACTCATTGAAATGGGAATGGTCGGTGAAAAGATGGGTCAATTCAAATTGGACAAAATTTTCACCGAAGTTCATGTCCTCTCCAAGCGTAAGTACTGGGGCATACTTGAAGACGGCACAGAAATAAAACATTGCATGAAGTAAAAATTTATTTTAAAAAAGTGACATTTTTTATTTTATTTGAAATGTACGCTGAGTTTGTTGGAGAAGACCGTTGGGAAACTTGTTTGTTAGATGAGAAATATGAAATGGCATACCATTTTTAAAACAATATATTTTACATATATTAAATGCTTCAGGTTGAAAACAAAGAACAAAAGTAGCAGATACAAAACCGTTAGACTATATCTTTACAAATGCTGGTAGGACTATTTCAGATGAAGAAATTTCATCCCGAGTATACAGGTTTGACTATCCAATTCGTTGGCTTCAAAGTCCTTCAGATGCAAAGGCAATAGGATTTAGAAGAGTTTTGTTTCAAATAGAACTAACGCATTTATGTTCGCAGTATATTTTCATGGGCAGTATAAAGGTTCTGATGGTCTAATAGACAAATTTGACGAAATGAGAATCTTTACAGTTCGTTCAGACGAAAGTCTGAGAAAACTCTAAATGACTTTCAAACTCAAATGAACAAATTTATTGGAATTTCAAGAAAAATACGACTCTTTACTAAATGAACATACTATCTGAAACTAGAATATGACAAGATGAACTCCACCGTTTCATTTCAAAAGATTGAAATTAACCCTCCAAGAGATACAGAGTTTTTATTTTGGAAAGTAGACAAACGTTCTTGGGCACAATTTCTTCGGTTACTAAACCAGAACGAACCATTACCACCAGATGGTCCATTTAAATTTATACTTCCACCAGCAGATTTGACAGTTTATAGAAACGTGTTTGACCCTCAAAATGTTATGTGTCATGCAAGTTTCAGTTCAAGCAACAATAGTTTTCTATGTATTGGTAAGGACTTTTATGACTTTGCTTCTAAATTCTACGAACCACCTAGTAACAGTTTTCTCTGACTTTCAAGTTTGGTTCACAACAAATGGTGTGCAACATATATTCCATTGTACTATGACTTTTATCTCGAATTGTCTTTCATATATAACTACGGAAAAGTGCTGAAAAAGTATTGAATGTGAAGATATTAGAAAATAACATTTTTTCTAACATCGTAGAAAACTCATGAAAACAATTTATTTTTGACACTTTCACAAAAACATAAAAAAGTGAAGTTAAACGTTAAGGTTTACTGAACTGGTTGGATGTCGCCTTCACAGGTTATGTACGGCTGACCCGAGAAGTGGAACAGTGCTCTGAGAATTTGTATAATTCGTGGAATTGGACTCTCTCTGTTTGGAAGTAGTATCCAAGGACGCTTGGCAAAGAACTTGAGAAGAGCTTCTTTCTTTGCTTGCTTTATGCCATCGTAGGCTGTCCCGTCTGGTATTTGAATTGGAATTCCAGTCGAAATCTCGAGAGTCAAGGCAGCCCTTCCAAATAGTGGTGAACTTGACCTTGGCTTCATGACCTTGCGCAAGTACTGCTTAACAAGCTCGTTAATTTAAATTAGGTAAACTGCCTCATCTAATGGCTCGATGTTGTCCATTGCACTGCTTCAGAACAATACTTGTACTTTTTCAGAACAATACTTGCACTGCTTCAGAACAATACTTGTACTTTTTCAGAACAAGACTTGCACTGCTTCAGAACAATACTTGTACTTTTTCAGAACAATACTTGTACTTTTTCAGAACAAATTTCCCGTAAAAGCTCTCAATTTGTGAGAAAAATTTTCTGTTTCAGAACAATACTTGTACTTTTTTCAGAACAATACTTGTACTTTTCAGAACAATACTTGCACTGCTTCAGAACAATACTTGTACTTTTTCAGAAACAATACTTGCACTGCTTCAGAACAATACTTGTACTTTTTCAGAACAAGACTTGCACTGCTTCAGAACAATATTTGTACTGTTTCAAGACAATGTCCGGACGTACCACCAACCCAGTCCATTCCCAAACCAGAGGAACCTAAAGCACCACAACAGTCTCATCAGCCTATGCCTTACTTCCCCAACCCTTGGATGTTCCAGCAAGCTCCACCCCAGCAATTCCAATCTCAATCCAAATCGAAGAGAGACCAAGAGTTCGAAGAAGGTCTGAACCGTTTACGCAAAGAGTATGCTACAGCTCCAATTGAGAGAAAGTTGTTCCCGGACCAAAAATATAATTTAGGGTAGAAGGTGAGATCTCACCTGTTTTTTCACCTGTTTTCTACCCTCTTGAATTTTCATGAATTTCCTTAAGATAGAAAAAATATAATTTAGTTTTATTTTTTTATTTTGTATGTAAAGATATGATTTCAGGGATTTTTTTGACGAAGTGTCAATCTTCACTTCGTCAAAAAATAACAGTTATCTAATGAAAAAGTGTCATTTTTTGTATTTTTTTGTATAAAAGATATGATTTCAGGGATTTTTTTGACGAAGTGTAAACCTTCACTTCGTCAAAAAATAACAGTTATCTAATGAAAAAGTGTCATTTTTTTTGTATTTGACGAGAATGTCGGGTAAATGTTTTGTCATGATTTCATCGTAAATGTTTTGTCAAGACTTCTTCGTATATGTTTTGTCATGACTTCATCGTACATGTTTTGTCAAGACTTCTTCATCGTAATGAGCGTAAATGTTTTGTGAAGAATATAGCAACAGTCTGAATTCCGACGGTTGCTTTTTATACAAAATTCATGCAGGAAATTCTTGAGTTTTGGTTGAAAGAATACGGTGGAGCCAAAAGTGGCTCGACCTCAAAACAAGCATTTTATGAGCTTACTAAGGGTGTTATGAATGAATTCAAATGTATTTACATACATCCTGACCTCGTTCATTTTGTTGCTGAATTCAGCAAAAATAATGTTTAGGTGAAGAGGTGAGATCTCACCTGTTTTTTCACCTGCTTTTT